TACCGGTACGACCGAAGGAGACGTAGTTAGTTAGTAGTGGTTGGTTGGTAGTACTAGTTAGGTAGTTAGTAGTAGTTACGTTAAACGTAAACTAACTACGTCGCTACTACTATGTACTTCTCTCTCTCTCTCTCTCTCTCTCTCTCTCTCTCCTACAAAAAAAAAAAAAAACAAAGACTCCTCTATTTCTAAGCAGTTATTTCTTCCTCTTCAGGTGACAGACAGGATGATGGCAAATGCAAAGTTCGTTTACCCTCACAACAGTCCTCTCACAAAAGAAGCATATTTCTATCGAATGATCTTCGAGAGGTTCTTCCCTCAGGTGAACTATTCAGGACGTTTGCAATACATGCTCTCTCGATATGTTGCCAGTGATTATATTGCTCTACTCCTTTCCTCTATTGAAGGCCCCAATAAGGTGGAACTTATATCTTCAATCCATGTTGCTAACTAGTTCTTCTCTCTCTAAACCTCTGCAGAATTCAGCAAGTCTAACAGTTCCAGGGGGTGCGAGTATTGCTTGTAGCACAGCTAAGGCCATTGAATGGGATGCAGAGTGGTCCAAAAACCTGGACCCTTCAGGAAGGGCAGCAGTAGGTGTCCATGCTTCTGCATATGACGCCCCAATGCCTAACAGTGGAGTGGTTGGAAAGGCTTCATCCAAGCTCATCAATAAAAAGGCAAAGATGGTGGATGTAAGTAATCCAGGCCTCACAGTTTCGACCTGAAAGCCTTCAGGAATTTGGAGTTGTAGCAAAAATTATTATACTGGTTGTTGTATAAGTGTGCGAATTTAGATTCTTATAGACAAGCATGTAAAAACCAATGTAAACTTGTAACAGCAGTTGCTTTGCTTAGCCATCACAAGAATGTACATCCATTTCTTTTTCGTTGTGTAAAAATGATCCATATTTATCAGGGTCCAGTTTGGTAATGTCAGAAGAGAGGAGATGAAAACTATGTAAATTTGGAAAGGCAATTAGCCATTAGAAGAAGGAAAACCATCTCTTTTATTTGCTATCAATTGGTGTGTGTTGGATTTTACCATAAGGCCATTCACTTTTGGTATAAGGAGGTCACAATTACCTTCGGTCATCGGATTTAAAATCCAACAACTTAAAGCTTGTCATATAATTTGAGAAATTTTATTTTGGACTTATTGCCCTTTCTATGGCAAGTCCCCGGTTACCGATTTCACTTCTAAGGATTGATAATTATTGCGACTTCTTTGTACAAAAAAATAAATGGTTTCATTGTATACATTTCTTATTGTTATCGTGTAAAAAAGTTCATTTAAACTTGCACATGCAATTGAATGAAGACTAGTTTCTTTTTCTGTATAAACTTGGAAAAGGCAATTAGCCATCATGAGAATGAAGATTGTTTCTTTTCTCGCTAGCAATTGAATGTAGACTCGTTTCTTTTTATGTATAAACCTGGAAAGGGCAATTAGCCATCATGAAAATTAAAGCTGTTTCTTTTCTCGCTGGCAAGTGGTGTGCTGCTTATGTTGTTTGTTGTGCTGAAAAGTAGTTTATATAAGCTTTGTGCGTGCACTACTGGGTATGCTGCCTATAGTGATTGTTGTGCAGAAAAGTAGCTCATGTGAACTTGTATACATAGTTGGCTATTTGAGTATGAAAACTCATTCCTTTTTCTTGCTTTTCCTGTGGGAAAAGGTTTTGGTGCGTCAAAGGACGTGTATATCACCATGTGTCCCCTGAGATCTGCACTTCTCACCCACTGAAAGTTTAAGGGATGTGGGTGACTGGTTGCCCCTGACGCCCTTCCTCTCCTGATTTTATCCTTTGAGATTGTCAGATGAAGGTTTCTTTCTCTCCCTGTTCATGTTCCCTCCATCTCCTCTCATTTTCTTCTGAACTCTGTTTCTACACCATGATCAACTTCAGACCAAAGGCTTGCAGACAAAGGAAGCCCTCTTGATCAGAGGCTTTCCTACAGAGGAACCCTCTCCTTGATCTGGAAGGATGGAGAGAGGAAACTGCAGATGCTGAATAATTTGCTTTCTTTCAAAGATGATTTTGAGACCAGCTAAAGAACTAGGGTTTGTGAAGGAGCTTGAATTGAAGTTGTAGTTCAGGAGTGCTCAGTGTATATTTAATTTGGCGTGAGAACCATTTAGCCTTTGAAAACAAGGTTGAAGGAAATGGAATGTCAGGAAATCTTGTCCGATAAACCCCAATTTTCATTGGTGGATGCCATTTTTTCATTCATCATCAACATCATCCAATTTTTATCCCAATTATTTGGGGTCGGTAATTCATGATAAAATGTGGCAAAATTTTACATTGGTTATCTACCTAACGCAATCCACCTCCTATATGCGGGCTTAGGATGGGTTAAGAGAAAGTTTAAGGTCTTCACCTTTATTAAACCAAGATACGACTTTTTCATTCAATATATTAAGTGTATACTTTTGTCGGTTGGGAGATTAAAGGAGATATTTTTCCTTCTAATCTCACAACCAACCACAAAACTTGACCTCAGAAATATAAAAGCACTAAAGGTGACACGCACCAATTTCTAGACATGGAAAAAACCCTGAAAAGGGAGAGAACTCCATTACTGTGTAGGAAAAACCTGTTTGAAAAGGTACTTCAATATATTGGATGCCACTTTTTCATTCAATATATCAAATTCCCTCTTCAAACCCTCTTTTTCCTATACAGTAATGGAATTCTCTCCCTTTCCAAGGTTTTCTCCATGTCTAGAAAGTGATGCTTGTCACCTTTGGTGCTTTTATATTTCCAGGGTCAAGTTTTGTGGTTGATTTTGATCAATGGTTGTGAGATTAGAAGGAAAAATATCTCCTTTGATCTCCTAGCCTACAAAAGTACATGCAATGAAGAAAAAGCTACCTGTTTTGTTATTTTTCTGTTTCGACTGGAGGAAATATTGCTGAGAATGCCCTAATTTGTTTATTGAAGTTGCATAGGCAACCCCAAAAATGCAGGGGCTTTCAACAAGAAATGAATGGCTTTGGTTCTTTGGTTCGAGCTTGATCGACAAGGAGTTTCATCCAGCTTTGACTTCTTGATGTTATTGACCCTTTCCATGAGAGGCAGTATCATTCTTGTGTATCTGATCCATCAATCTAGTGTAATTTGACTATTTTTACATCAGTGAAACAAGAGAGAGGGTTATGCGGTGGAGAGACTTGTTTTCTTCGGTTCTTCGATAATTTTCTTTATTTAGATATCATAGGTTCTTCGGTAAGGCCTGGGGAGGATGCAAGCCAATCACCATCGGGAACTTATTCCGATTCTGAAGCTAACACCATGAAATGCTTATTAAGCCATGAAACAGGGCAAAGAGCCTCCCCAATACAAAAAATAAAATAAAATAAAATAAAAATAAAAAACTACCAGAGGGAGAAATCTGAATAGCCAGTGAAACAGAGTGGCAGAAGTTAGAGAAGGAAGACAGAGACAGACTAGCGAGGGGAACTGGGATTTCCTGTGCCCAGTTGCTCTTTTTTGAGTTCTGTGTCTGATCTACAACAACGGGGTACATCTTAGGGGATTCACGGTCACAGGTGTGTCCGCTAACACACAAAAACCATGTTCTTACCTTTATATGGGCATTAGACTCTATATTCTTTAATTGATGAGAATAGAATTTGAACTTGTATCAGCAATCATCTTGTTTCTTGTTTACTTTCAAGTGATGTACGGGAATCCATGCAGAAGACTTTTATCTTCTGATTGTTAGTTTGAGCAATGCAATTAGCCATTACAAGAAGGAAAATCCATTTCTTCTCTTTCCATTGCAATAATGAGAACTAATCTCTCTCCCTTTTTTAAGAGATCTAATTTGTCTCTTGCTTATAAGTAAGAATACAAGATCTGATTCCATGTATCAGGTACTCCAGGTAGGCACCAATGGATACAGTCTGCATTATGTAATGGGTCAGCCTTTTGCTCATCATTCAAAACTTTTCCGTGGGTCTCGGTGTAAACCGATGTATGACCATCTATTCGGTGCTCGGATAGTTGGGTTATGTTGATAACGGATACAGGAACCTTCATTCTCTTTACTATGCTCCCCACTACACTCATCAGGCGACCATCGGACCCACTGCCCCAATAGCCTCTTTTCAAGACAGGCCTAGTCTCATTGTAGCATCTGATCCCCTTGTCATTGCCCCAATCTGAACTCCTGCAGTAGATTCTATTGAGAGAGAGAGAGAGAGAGAGAGAGAGAGAGAGAGAGAGAGATGGAGAGCTTACCTCATGTGAGTGGGGGACATGGTGGTGAAGAACACTCTGGTTTTGTTCGGATTCACGGTGGAATCTACCCAGTTAGCCCATGTCCTTAGGCCGATCCTGTAAGCAATAGGCGCATCTAACTCCTCGTACCCTTCTTCTGCATTTGCGAACGAACCCCAACTGTTGAAATGACATAAAACATAGACGGTTGTGTAGGTTCAGGGCCTGGCACGTTTTTAAGTGTCCCTAGTATGTTTATCCAAGTTTTTTTAGTGAAGGAAGTTATTTAGTAGTGGTCTTGTTTCTTTGGATGACTAGACACAAAAAAGTCAGCTTTTGTGTTGCACATATTGTATTTTGGAACATCAGACATGCAAATTGCTCCCACATCTGAGTATCCATGCATCATAAAAAGACCATGCCCAACTTGTCTATGAGAAACGAGCAACTCACAGAGACTTGATCTTGAGTCCACTCATCCACCAAACGTAAGTATTGAACACGAGGATATCCACTCCAATCCAGTGCTGTGCATGTTTTGATATAGAATCAAGTCTCAGTATTCTCTTCTTTGGATCTCCTATAACTTTGATGTCAGAGTTTGATTCCACTAGAAATGGAGCCCAGTAGAACTCAATTGTGGCGTTGTACTCCTAGATAGAGAGACATGGTTTTCAGAGTTTTGGATAACTTTATTAACTTTGACACATTGGATAACTTCATTAACTTTGAAAGATCTTTGGTTGATGAGCAGATTGTCAGACCTTAGCCTGGAAGATGGACAGAGAGTGGCCCCGTTTCATGGATTTCTGATCAGGTGGGATGTGGGAATAGAGAGAGCAAACCATGGACATCCATTGCCCACGTTGAAGGGAGTCCCCAACGAACATTAGGCGCTTCCCCTTTAGTCTCTCTAGAGCCACTGCTGCATCAAACCTGAAATGATATGCACCATTCCATTACCATTCTATATATAAGTTTTAACTTATCCTAGAGAAAAATAAGCAAGTATCGCCTTGTAGAAGGATTTCTTTTTTCCATAGGGAATAGCTTTGGCTTACATGATGGCCAAACTTTAAGGAACAAACGGTTGGGTATCATAATGGAAACCGGATGTCAAACCTCTCATGTGATGGCGAAGAAAGGTTTAAGCTTGCAAAACATCACTTCTCCCCTATTAGTTTGTTGCCTATTGCCATAACCAGCAAGCAAGAGGCAAAAATTCTCTTATGACTGCATGTATTGATTATTGCAATGGCGATACCAACATAGATTTTTGAGAACCAAAAGTATGTATGTTTTTGAGAACCAAAAGTGTATGTATATTTACTATTATGCTGGTTTGGTTTCCACCAGAATACTAACAGCTCCCAAAGCCGTCAGATGTTGACAGTGAACAGTCGAGGAGCATCCTTCACGTTTGAATGATGCAAATCAACCTCCTGTCAATTGACTGCTTAGGTTGGGGAAGCACTACGAGGTTTCAATGATTGATGTCTAGTTGTCTTACCACTAAACCATAACCTGAGGAAGGATTAGGCCTTGAACTACACTTAATGCGATCCAGTTATTTACAAATAAACCAAAGCCTGAGGATTCATGGGTCATGGTGTGCTTCCCTATATCATTGTGATTGGTGGGATATCTTGTTTGTGCAATACTTAAGAGCTTTAATTTGGGGAATTAGAGATGTTTGTGTTATCCAAATAAGGTTCTTCCAAATAACGCAACAAATAAGGAAGACAACCTTTTCTGATTTTTTTTTTTACTTTTCTGAACTTTCTTTACTTTCACCTTTTCACCAGGTGAAAAGTAATTTCTTGGGATGCCGTCCTAAAGCTTGTAAGAACATGGGATATTACATGGCCAAAAGAAGCAAAGAAAATACTGGCTGGTGATGAACTTGCAACGTCAACTTTCTTAATGATCAAAGTACCCCTATTGTAGGATAATAATGGTTTATGAAATCTCATTCTGAAGCCATAGCTGGTGATTTGCAGGAGATATCTTTAGGGACTTTTTGGTGTAATCTTTAATTAAAAGAAATGCATTTTGAAAGTTAGGAAGGATTTGTAGGAGATATCTTTAGTGACTTTTTGGTATAATCTTTAATTAAAAGAAATGCATTTTGAAACTTAGGAAGAAAAAGCTTTAAAGTTCCAATAAGATTCCATCTTCTAAAATTTCACACTGTGGGGAATACATCTCTGGAAACATCGAACTACCTCAGAGAATCACTGAGTTGGTCAAATCAACATGTATATCAACACATTAATTACATCAAAAATATCATTTCATTCCCGCTTTTTCTCAAATGTTTTTAATAAAATATGTAAAAATGCATCTATTTTGGATTAGGAGTCTTGAACAAGCAAGATTCTTTACTGACACCAGCCCACTTAGAATGAACTCAAGGCATAGGTGGTCAGGTTGGTAGATGGCACAATATAATGTCTTAAGTTCCATTTTTACAATAGGTATTGGACCTCTTTATAGTGATCTACCTAAAAAAGACTAGAAAAAAAAAAAAACACTTTAAAGTGGTTGAAGCAAAATGATGCAAATCCCGCCTCCACCTCCTTGATCAGGGTTTCAAGTCCAGAATATATTTTTCATTAAAACCTATTATTTCTGGTTTAGAATCGGAAACGAGTGGGGCATTATAGAAATTTGGCCCACTCATGGTTCAAATTATCAAATATTATTGGTTGTTTTGCATTCCAAACCCTGAACATAAACATTGCGAGTAATATTTAAGTAGCTACTTAAGTGAAATGACTTATATAAAATCATTAGGTGGGACCACTTTTAATGATTTCTCTTATATTTTAGGAGATATGTAATTTACTGATTTAAAGTAAGTGAAGCTTTCTTTTTCCCAAAAAAGAATAGAAAAGAAAAAAAAGAAAAGAAAAAGAAAAGCCTAGTGATCAAATGATTATGGTCACTACCAGGGCACTCTTTTATGCCCCTGATCCTGATATAGCTACTCTTCACATTCTAATCTGACACAAGTTGGGACTAGTTCCCTCCTGAATTATCCAAATGCCCTTGTGACTATATCATGCTAACAAGAACAATTAGGCCAAGGGGAAGGAGCAACAAAGTTGCACAGTGTACAAGTGGCGACTACTAGATCCAAAAAAAAAAAAAAAGAATACTATGGTCGTGCCATCAATGTCGTCATATTTAAAGATGGACGGTCATTAGGTCCGCCAATGGACCGGGCCGGCCTGGAATTTCCGACGGAATATGGGCTTCAGGCCGCCCAGGCTTCAATAAAGAGCGTCTGGACTGGGCCTATGTGCATAAGTTCGGGGTGGGCCTTCCCCCTTGGTGGGGACGAAACTTTTGGGCTTTTACCAGGCCCGGCCCTCCCTGATGGCAGCCCTAATGGAAATAAAGATGAGAGTGGGCCCCACCGATTGGATCACATCGTACAACTTTCTATCCATCACCATCCACCCATCATTAGAAGGTGATGACACTCATGACCACTGGTTTTCTATAGTCCTATGGAGTATGTATGTTTTTTTGTGGCACACTTGTTTCTCTCACCTTGGTAGCACGCAATTATCTGGTTGCCATTCCCAGTACCGATAGTCATCATCTGGCCTTCCATTCGTATGGCATGAGACTTGACGGTCGATATACGGGCAGCTCTCCTCGGTATATAAAGGCTTCCTCGATCGGTTGAACACCCACCTTCCCTTAACCATGTCACATTCCTCCAGATCATAATCTCTCTCATCTATCTCTTCTTCATCTACAGCTGCAATCAAAGAATCGAAAAGCATTACATCGAAATATTATCATCTAATGTTCGAGAAAGAATGCTTTTTCTTGCAGTACTGAGAGAAGGTATGGTGAATTATGGATTGAGTGGTTACTTGGTGTTTTTGCGGTGTGAGCGGGTGCGAGATATTGAGCCGGGCAAGACTTGAGCTTGAGCATGGAGGACCGGGCAAGGCTTTTGACATCCTCTGCATAGAGGATAAGGGCGAAGGCGAGGGCGCATACAATGACCACCATGACCGAGAAGGGGAGCTTCCCCTTTGAAGGTTTCATGGCCAGATGAGACTGAGAGGCCAACATTTCCATTAAGAAGTACTTCCCTAACAACTTGAGGAGGGCGTTTGTGCTAGCAAGGAGTGGCTCAATACAAGTTCAATTGGTTGTGGGAATGGGTACTCAATTTGAGTAGGAGTCAAGTCTAAGCAACACACACTCTCTCTTTCTATTCTTTTACTTTTAATTTAGCAAAATCTCTCTCTCTCTCTCTCTCTCTAAATGATACAATGTTTACATGGTGGGATGTCAAAATCTATCACATTGGCTACCAAAGATGAATACTTAAACGTACACCAGACCTCTCTCTCTCTCTCTGTCTCTCTTCCTGAACACAAATGAATCAATGTGTTATGTGGTGGAGCATCACAATCCTCTGTGATGGCTAATGAGTGCCATTGTTTTGTGGACCCACTTTCTACGTGGCCAAGCCCGTATACGTAGAGATGAGAGCCTCTTAATAAATCTATTTTTGAGATGGATTTTAGGAATTAATTTCTGAAGACGTGAAATCTCTAATATGGAGATCATGAATATTGAAAAATAAATAAAGTTTAAAGACTAAAATTAATAATTCTAATAAAAAACATTTAAACCGTTAGTTTCCATTGTTTTTAGGTGAAACACCTGCTTGCATGATGCTCTAAAAATAGGTATGCCCGCATGAAACAATTTTCCTTTGTTTTATGTGGTCCCATTCAATTAAGAGAAGGTTTGGATTGTCCGTACGTAAATTTCCGGATGGTTGCCGAGAAAACCGACATTAAGCAACCAATTTGGTGACTTCTAACAAATGCAAGCGTATGTGATGGTGAGAAGAGAACGCATACGGAAGAGTCAGCTGGAGGCAACTTTTTTGGGTACTTATCGTATAGTCCATGATTCTTTTTTAGGTGGGTGAGGGAGATGAGAGAAAATGTTGGGCCAAAAAGCGGACCCCATTTCTGTTATCATATTGTTTCATAGTTGCACTAATGAAGATCACCAATAGGGGTGGCAATGGACCCAGACCAGATCAGGTATCCGACGAGTATACTCGACACAGGTCCAATTACAGGTCTAACTTTTGGACTCACGGGTAGGGTCTGGGTCCAAAGTTTGGACTCGAACACTATTTGGATCTAGGTTCAGGTGCGGTTGGACCGGACCTGTACCCATAAATTGTTGGAGATAAAATACTTCAAGCCCTATTCATTTGAGTTTATTAAGGATCGTATACAATAAGAATGCGCAGTCAAGTGATTAAATGACAAATTAGATGGCTTGAAATATAATGGCCGGTGATTGTGACCTTGTTGCCAATAATATGGGTATATGATAGTAAAACAAAAAGGGACCAAAAAAAAAAAAAAGGAGCTCAGAGTGATGGTGGCAATGGACCCAACCAAACCTGGGACCCGACGGGATAGACCCGAGAACCTACGAGTACGGGTATAGGTCCAACTTTTGGACCCGACGGGTTAGGCTTAGGTCCAAAACCTGGACCCGGATACATTGGGGTCTAGATCCAGGTCCGGCTGGACCTAACTCATACTTGACCCATTGCCACCCCTACACCACATGTCCTGAGAATCTTAAATGTTGGGATCCCCCTCTTATATCTGGATTTTCATATAAGCTATAATGAAAAACTATATGATAAGATCATTTACTTGTCACAATCACGTTTGGCTGCTGGATGTAAAATCAGGTGGTTCAAGATGTGTCATTGGCCGAGCTTGAAGTTCAATAATTTTTTTCGAATTGAAACACATTCCAAGCCGTTAGATTGCACATCTGGCTAGAAGCGACTATAACCTCCTTAAACTAAAAATAACATAGTTTTATGGTATAAAATATAATTATAATATACCAAAGGAAAAAGTATATATAGAGCCGAGGCTCCAAACAATCAAATTATAGCGACCTCAAAATTTCACTAGAAAAGGTTGTTTTGTTGCCCAAATATCCTCAAAGTGATCATCTCAACATCAAGAAGCATGGATATGAGAAGAAAATGGATTTCAAATTTTAGAAATAATACATCTTGTAACACATTTTTGGACAGTCAATTATCAAGTTTTCGTAGATCTGCTCCATCTATGCTATTTTTGAAGCTTTAAATTTTATAATTAATGATGAAAATATAGTTTAAAGCTCTCTGAAAGATTTCCAGTATTGAAACCACATTTCTCGATACTATTTGAAGGTGCACTTCACTTTGATTGTTTAGAGCCCCGGTTCTATACAAACCACACCCTATAAGTAAACCACTTTTATTTTTCCTGCCCATTGCAGCAAAACAGCACCATATAAAGAAAAAAGGGTACACCCTTCTTGGTGACAATAAGATACCCAATGCATCTCAAAAACCAATTGCTCTGAAATCTTCAAATCCCCTTGAACCCCACACCCTATTGAAACGAAAAGAGAGGATCATTTGGAAAATTCTCAAGCCACCTTCACACTTCAAAGGTGACTTCTGTGGTCCGCGGAGCACCAAATTTGGTGTTCCGGAGAGCTTGCTATGATTGCCATTCAAAGGAATGACTCCAATCTATTACGTGTTTTTTATAGGGACATTAGGCTACGAAGTTCACAAAACCATTTGTGAACATTTACATCAATTACATTTCCTATAAGTCATAGGACTCATATAAATATGCTTCCCCTCTTCATGATCCATTTTTGAGATGGATTTGGGACCTAATTCTTTAGATATTTATAATCTCTAATGTGGAGATCATGAATGTGTAAAAATAGATAAATTCTAAAAATTTGAAATAATTTTTTTAAAAAAGAAATTTAAACGATAAATTTTCCCTTTTTTGTCGAGACCACAACTCTACATCCATTTTTAAGATGGATGTGTAATGCCTCGGGGGACACAAATGTAGTTATGCATCCGTGATCACTTTTTCCTTATATCAAGGATGTGGTTTCTATAAGGTTGCAACATTAAACAATCCAATTATTAAGGTGCACCTCCAAATTTTATTATAACATGTAATTTTGGTGTAAACAATTATTAAGATTATCTCAAAATCTATTTTCAAATCTAATTATAAAATTTTAAACTCCAAAAATGATCAAAATCAAGTAGATCTATAAACATATGAAAATCTTGAAAATGGACAGTCTAGATAATGGGTTGCAAGATGCACTACTTCTAGGACTCATAATTTTTTCTTTTTTTTTTTCATATTCATACATCTCGATGTAGAAATAATCAATTAGAAGATTTTTCAACATTAAAACAACATTTTTTGATAGATTTCTTAAGGGCATAAGTAATTCCACATTTTAAAGTTACAATTTTATTATATAAACTTTTCCCTATAAAAATCTCCTCTTCAAGAGAAAGTTTGGAGCTCCCTAGACACTACAAGTTGGGCAGTCCATTTTTGAATGGACAACAGATCTAAGGAGGTTGGAGAACATCACAATCTGATTTTACATTTAAGTTCTGGCTCTGAAAATATGAGCTCCTCAAGACACTTGAAGACACCAGAAACTTGGGGAAATAGAAAACAAATGCGTGCTACCATGTTACCCTGTGAGTGTTAGTAAATATTGATAAAGCGTGTATAAGATCAAACCCGAGATCAGAAAGAGGTGTCGTGACGTTGGTGCAGAGCTCGGATTTTTATCCGTTCGCCTTTTAGAGAGATGTACGCATTTTCTTTACTGTACACATCCTCTTTATGGCTTCCTATTTTATCGGGAGAAGAAGGGGTAACCGTTGTATTTCTCCAACGGGTCTCTGAGAAACGAAGGGGTTCTTTGATCTCCAACGGGTCTTTGAGAAAAACGAAAGGTTACGTTCATGTGACCATTGGATATATTGAATTCCCACAAATGTAGGCTAAGACATGTAAGACCTCATAGCCATATGTGTCAACATCTCCCACTTGGCTATGACGGTTGATGCATACTCCCACTTTTGTATATGACCTTTAAAAAAATATCTTGTCATGAGGTTTTTCTCAAGCTTTTGCGGATATGCCTCTCATAACTAACGTTGAGTATGACCTGAAAAAAAATATCTTGTCCTAAGGTTTTTTTCAAGCTTTTGCGGATATGCCTCTCATAACAAATGTCTATCATGAGGATTTTCACGCTAATGTAGATTTCTCACTAATGAAAATTGTCTGACTTAAACATTTGTAAGACCTATTAACATGAAAATCCTCGTGATAGACTAGCTTAATGGGACTAAAAAGTGTTTATGTCCCATTAAGCTAGTATATCATGAGGATTTTCTCGCTAATGCGAATTTTTCACTCATAAAAAATGCTTGACTTAAACATTTTTAAGTCCCATTAAGCTAGTATGCTTAAACAGTAGTTCAGTACTTAGACCCTTTGTCAGTGGATCAACAATCATATCTAATGAGGGCAAGTAACTAACAGTTACTTCATCTTTCTCAACTACATCCTGAATGTTGTGATATTCGACATCTATATATCTTCCTTTGGAGCTATTTGTTCCACTTTGAATTAATCTAAATACGGTTTGATTATCTCAAAATATTTGGATCGGTTCGTCGATTATTTGCAGCTTCAAGTTATCTATGAAGCACTTTCTCCAGACGACGAAAATACAAGCAGTGCTACATATAATGAGAGTATTATGAATTTACTCCCACTCTTCAAGACATACACATAATGGTCCATTCTATTTACTTCATATCCCATAATCTGGGTAATAATAATAGCAAACGAGATGCAAGGCACATGGAGATTTCTTTACCAAATCTTTTTAAAGCATGCTTTAGCCTTTGACAGGAAAGCGACATTTGATGTGCCCAGTTTGGGATATCCCTTATTGTAGCCTTTGACAGGAAAGCAACATTCGATGTGCCCAGTTTGGGATATCCCTTTGCTGAGAGTTTGTACCTTTTATTGGCTAGCAATCCTCTGCATTAGGTTGTCATGGATCACCTTCACTCTTGGGGATACTTTCCAAACATTTGCCTTTATTGCAAGGACTACAAGTAGGGTATCAGCCATTCAGTAGGGCAGAGTATGAGACTTCTTCTTTGAACCATTTAACATTGGTTTTGGTTTGGTTATTCCAGTCTCGACAGTAATCCACACAGGCTCAACCATATCAGATGTACCATGCAGTCTCAATTTAAGCAAATCCTAGCTCCTAGTAGTGCTTCTCAGATCTTTTGAGAATTGCCCCCTTTGAAAAACTAAAAAAAAAATCATAGATGAGATTCTCGACATTAGAAGTAGGGACAATATTGCTTTTAATAATGTCACTAGAGGTGTCAATGTAAGGCCTTTGACCGAGCTACGATGAAAAAATCACTACTTAAAAGGGCAATGGTATTTGCTTTTTGTTGCTCTCACTTCTATTGGAGCCAGATAAGGCATATGCCTCTCCATACATCTACAACACTCTTAATGCAACTTGACGTATGCCTTTAGTGAATAACCACTAAGTATAACATAACAATAGTTATAATACTAATTCAAACAGATACCTTAAGTGCCAGAAAGAAATCATTGCACCTTGTATTAATAAAATGCATGATATATATATACATATGAAAACAAATTACGAATTGCAACAATATATCAGTATACAGCAGAATTGAACAGGCATTTGATCATTCATGCAAATTCAAATTGCAGATTCATACAAACCTTCTAAAAGACATCTTAATGAGATACAAATCCAAAGGATATATCATCCATAATAGACCTTGGATCCATATCATATGTGTTTTTTTTTTAATATATATATCAATAATATATAAGATAATAAAATAGTAAAATATGTATTCATAGATGCGATATATGTTCAGAGTGACTGTATCTCAGTAACAGATAATCCACCAAAAGTTAACTATTTTCGTAGATTAAAAGATGCGACTGCTACCCATTGTTTTATATCTTTTTGTAATGATAAGCAATCCCTTAAATCAAGATATATATATATATATATATATATATATGCTATTAACAGAATATATATATATATCCAATATTTTGTTTAGAAAACAATATTAAAAGTCAAAGGCCATGCCCAAGTAAACTTTCTCTCAAAAATTGCAACTCTCATACCAAGAGACACGTCCAACGAATCTCTCTTTTACCTGTTAACCCGTTCATCAGGTTACTCAACTAAATTTCAGTTTTACCCTTGACCCTACTGATCCGCACCTCAAAATTTTGGGTACTCCCCCCCCCCCCCCCCCTCCCCCCTTATTCGTTCACCCTCTCTCTCTTCATCAGTAGCTATGATCCAATGATTATGACTATTACATAGTCCACAGGATTATGGTATATATTTTTTAGCAATGCTATAAGTGAATTCCAATAAAGAAGTTAACCCATTATCAGAGGAAACAACAACAGAGGCAACTCACGGGAGGAGAGAGTGCGTGATTGTTGTTGGGCAACACTAAGACCGCGTTGAGCAATCTCCTTTTCCCAGCTCTTTGTTCTCCTGTTTGATCTGTCTTTCTAGTTCTCATCTTGCATCATAGCGATGAAGAAGAAGCATGATGGATGGTGGTTAATGGGTAGTTTAGAGTGAGAATGGAGAATATGGGTCATGCCTCTTCCATGTCTGAGCAGCATTTTTCATCAACCCAAATCCCAAATTTCCTCTCTCTACAACTCATCCCATCAACACATCAAAATCCCACTTCAACACAACAGAAAATCAAGTTTCTCTCTCATACTCAAGCAAAACACACAAATCTCTCCCTCTGCCATCACCCAAATGCCAGACCACAAAAAGATATGTAGAGAGAGAAAATTGCAGTGATCTCAGAGCAAAACCCTACACGGAAACCCTTAGAACCAGAGGTAGAAATAGAGGTAGAGGTACATAGAGAAACTGAAATGGAGAAACATAAAGAGGGCTCTACTATAATGGGAAAGTTCAATAACCCATGGATAAGAACCTTGGTGCCCTACAATCCATTTGTCATAGCCATGTCCTCAACCCCATCACCTCTTCTCCCATTTTTGGCAGCATTCCTAAATTTAGCCCTCAGTGAGAAGACCCACTGGTTCTAAAAAAAATAACATTAATAAATCAAACCCACAGTGAGAAGACCCATTGGTTCTACCAACAAAGTAAACCCCAGAAAGAGAGAGACTATATATCGCCATTTTTGTTTGTTGTTTTTTTTTAACAAAATTTATAGCAAGATCCTAGGCATGATTTGCATTTATCGTAACCAAAACTTGCAGGAAGAACTATAATACTAAAATAATATGGAAGATGAAACCTGGTCGCTTTGATACTATTGTCAGTAAATATTGATGAAGCGTGTATAAGATCAAATCTAAGATCAGAGAAGGGGTACCGTGTGGCTGGTGATTGCAAAGCTCGGATTTTTATCCTTTCGTCTTTTAAAGAGATATACGCATTTACACATCCTTTCTCTGGATTCCCATTTTATGCAGAGAAGAAGGGGAAACTGTTGTATTTTTCCAATGAAAAACGAAGGGGTTCCCTGATCTCCAATGGGTCTTTAAGAAAAACGAAAGCTTGCGCTTCATATGACCATTGGATATATTGAACTCCCACAAATATAGGCTACGGCACGTAAGACCTCATAGCTATATGTGTCAACAGTGAGTACGTTGTATACTCGTTCTTTTGGCAAAGGGCCCATTACTCAAAAGTATTGCCCAATTTAAAGTTTTGGAATCCACTTCAGATTTGCTGCGTAGGTATTTTGTGAGAGAAATGCAATAAAAGAAATATAATGAGAGAAGAAGAGAAAGATCAACAAGACACCAGTATCTCATTCATAAGGATTACTCTGTTTTATTAGAGATTTATAAAGTTACAACTCTTGTCTTTTAAGAAACAAATCCCATTACGATTGTAATCCCACAAACTAAAGAAAAATGCGAAGCTCAATATTTGGCTACTACAACTACATATAAGAAACTCAATATTTGACTACTATAACTATCAACAAAACATTTTAAGTTTATTAAACACTTAGATCTAACTATCTAAAGATTAAACAATCTCGTTGAATTTTAGGTTTTATTTATTTATTTATTTCATTTATTTCTTCGTCAGGTACATACATAATGCGTGTGATTTCTATTTTCAATTCTTTGTGAGGTTGGTTCTTCAAACTGGGTCCTAAAGATACTCCAAGATAAGGGTTTATAGTGTATGCTTGCGGGAGCACATAATCTGAGATCCTGATGGTCAGATTAGAAGAAATTCACTTCAAATCAAAATGAAAATGATTGAGCCTGAAATGCATGTTGTTTTCAAATTGCAGTACGACTATAATGTTTGTCCTATTTCTTGGAGGAAACATATGGACATTAACCTTAAAGCAATGGTGTATCGAACCATCCACTTCTAATGAAGGGTTGATTAACCATAACCTGGTATGTGTACACCACAGGGAATTAGGTTATTTTTTAAGTTTTAAGCTTTATAATTTGGGTTAAAATAGATACCAAAATTACATTTTTTTGGCACAATTTGATGGTGCGCTTTACTTTGATTATTTAAAATTGAGACTCTATGCAAACCTCACCTTCTTAGTAATACTAGCCATTTAAGTGGCTCAAATGAAATGGTGCAAATCTCATCTCTTTATTAGGGTTCCAAGCCCAATACATATTTTTCATTAAATCTCTTATTTCGAGTTAGAAACAAATGGGGCATTATAATGATTTGGTCCCCTTCAAAATTATCAAATATCAATGCTCGTTCAGGATTCCAAACCCTGAATCTAAACAATTTGTGTAATATTTGGAGAGATAATAGAGTAAAATGACCTTATTAAATTAACTATTTTCTTGAGAAGTCGGTTGATTCAAAACCACCTTAGTGATTTTAAGAGCTTGTTTGACCATTCTAATGATATTTCTCTTATATTTGAAGCAAACATATTGACAGGCACTTCGTCATTTTTATTAGTTGTATTTTTTTTTTATAGTTTTTAACAAGTTTGTTATTAGAAGTATGGGTGCTCAAATTTATTCTTGATGCATAGAAAAAAATAAAATAAAAAACTTTTTAAGACCATTTTTTGAAGACTTTTCAAAAAGTACAATTTTTTGAAAAAAAATTAAAATAAAATTTCACTATAAAAAAAAGTGAGAATTGAGTATAAAATATAAAATCAAAATTAAAAAATAAAAAAGGATTTCCTTTTTTATTTTCTTTCTCTATTTACGGCTAATGATTGCATGCAGGTGACGGGTAATTTGTGATGTTAATTGGATTACGTTGAGGTGCACAAAATCCCAACCCTAACAGGTTACCAATCTCTTCTTTTACCCCCACACTCTTTATCAATCTCTTCTTTTACCCCCACTCACCCCATTAATTTTGACGATGAGGATTTGTTGAGATAAGTCAATGGTAACTCAGACCTAATTTTTGCAGTTTGTATAGAGAGAGCTTAGGCTCTAAAGTTTAAACAATCAAATTAGAGTTTACTTTCAAATGTAGTTTTAATGTTAAAATTTTTTGTGATAACAGTAAAATATATTTTTATATTTATTTATAAAATTTAAATTTTTAAAAGTATTGTAAATCGACATATATGCGAAAACTTAAAAATCTAAAAAATTGTCTGTCCAAATATGTATTACAAAATATACTATTTTCAAACTTTGAAATCCATTTTTTCTCTCATGTCCATGCATCTTGATATTTAGATGATCAATTTAAAAATATTTAAACATCAAAACATCTTCTAGTGAAATATTTGAGATGGGCTCAAATTTCAACATCTTCCGGTGAAATATTTGAGTTGGGCTCAAATTCGATTGTTTAGAGGTTCGGCTCTGTATATACTTTTCCCATTTTTAAAACCCCGACCTGTTTTTAAGCAAAAATAAAGGACTGGTCCCTGGCTCTCTCTCTCTCTTCTAAGTCCTACCTCTCTCTGCAAGTTAAGAAGGAGCTGCCCCCTTCAATGGTGAATCATCGACGCTCATACCCAAGAAAGAACCCTAGCCCCTTCAATGGTGATCCAACTCTCTTAAGAGTAATCCCTAGCCCCTTCAATGGTGTCTGTGAATCTCATAATCGGAAGCAACAAAGTATAGCCTCTTCAATGGTGAGATGAAACTCTCATTCTATTGCATAAATGGACTCTAACTATAGGGGTATTTGGCGTTTTCTTGGGCAGCATCTTTAGTGTCTTGAGAGGGGTATAATTTTGCCTGTATGTTTTTCTCTCTCTCTAGTTGCATGTATTTATTACTCTCTCTCTACTTTACATGCTTCTTGCACCTTTTCTACTGCTAATTTTTGAGTCACTGAGTTAATTTGATGTTTCCCCTTTTGAAGAATTTTCATTTTCTGAATTTAGGCTTGAATGTGAGAATCAATAATGGCCATTGTAAGATTTATTTTAGCAATTTTATTTCAAAAATTTTGCAGGTTTGTGTGATGTTGGAACATATTGTGGTTGAGGCAACTGTTGGATTTTAATGAGGATAAATTTTTTTCATCCAAATTTCGAGTAATATGAATTTTATATCATACCTAAAAAGGAGCTCAATCTTTGTGTAAAGAACCTTGTTGGGGTCCCTGTACCGGTTTGATTTCTAGCTATCTCATCTTTGTTACTACCTCTGTACTGGTTTGATTTTTAACATTATCTCAAATTTGTTACTACCTTGCCTATCAAGTCTACGACATCAAAATTGGGGAATAATGTGGGACAGGGTAACGTATTCGGTGAGACTTGATAATTGAGATAAAAGTGAGGGACTCATACTTGTTATGTATAGAGCTAGTTTTTTCTGCAATTTTTGAAGATTGTGGTATCAAACCAATATGATATGTATTTTTCATTTTCTATAGTTATTAGGCCTTCTTTTGAGCTATTTTTGTTCATACACCTGTTTGTTTTTCTTTGGAGATTTTTTTTCATCGCATTGTAGAAGATTGGGTGGGTTATCAAGCTATAATATGTTATCTTATTCTATTATCTACTGAGTTAGTGCCTTCCTTTGTGCTTTTTATGTTCTTATACATGGGTCATGTATGATTTTTTCCTGAAATTTGGTTAAGCATTGGCTATAAACTTCTTGTAATTGTTTTAAGTTTATTTGAGCTGGATTTTTGTTATGGTGCTTTTATTGCCTAGAATCCTAATCTTGGGTACTTCTGCTTTAAGCAATAAATAACTGGGAGCATTTGGATTAATGTTTTAGGCATGGAGATCTTTTTTTCCAATTACATAAGATTGTGGTATCCAACCAATATAATACATTTTTTCATTTTCTACTGATTAAGGGCTTTTTTTTTAGTTGTTTTTGCTCATATACATGGTTGATTTTTGTTTGGAGGTTTTTTTTCTTTACCTCCATTCTTTTTGTGGTTGTGTTTCTTGTAGTGCGTTTATGTTCTACTGTTTTTGTTATTTTCATGACAAGTTCATTGAAAACTTACTCTTATTGGGAACTTATGATAGTCAAATAATTGGTTGTATTTTGAGTGTTCGATAACTGGTAGCATTTTGTATTTAATTCAATATGTAGATGTATTGAGGAGAGTAGACCGTTTAGCAATCAATCGCCTTGGATCATATTGTTCTTTATTTTTTTATATTTTTGTATAGGTTGTACAATTAACCTCAACAGTTCATGTCTAACCACATGAGGTAAAGTGGCCGAGGAATGGTTGTATCGCTATGGGGAGCACAAGTAACCTCCAAGAGAGTGTGACTAATATCCCAGTTTATGTGTCTGAGGAGCAACAGTAATTGTATCGTCAAAGAGTGTATCGTTAGGGGGAGCACAAATAACTTTCAAGAGAGCGTAAGTAACATCCAAGTCTATGTGCTGTGTTTGAGGAGCAGCGGTGATTGGTTCAATTTTTCATGGCATCACATTTTTTTATCCACCCAAGGTGAAGTGGTTGTATCACTCTGGGGAGCACAAGTAACCTCCAAAAGAACATAAGTAACATCCATGTCTGAGGAGCAGTAGTGATCGACTCAATTTTTCATGCCATCACATTTTTTTGATATGATGCTAATTTATTAATTCATGTAAAACTAGCTTTCGTGTTTCAACAAAATGGGATGTAATGTACTTCTCCAATATATAAGGTGATGTCTTTTGTATTTATGATAATGTGAATCATCCGAGCTCTCAATCGACACTTGGTGAGGGATTATTGCAATCCTAGGAGACGGATAGCAAGAATGAATGCTAATATTGTTTTACGTAGACCCATTCAATTGGGGGATAGTTGGGGCGGTATATGTTGCAAATAAAAGCAACATTAAACAAAGGAATTATATATAACGAGATTATTTATCTTTGACATAAAGTGGTCACAATTCTTTACAACTATTTAATATGAAATTTGATAGTTTGGATATGTCTCAAAATCCAAGAAAATTTCTTTTGAAGCTTGAGTTTGATCAATGGAATAATTGCAGCCACCCATTTTTACATCCAATGGTCAAGACTAATGTGACCACCTTGTATCAAAGGTAAATGGTTTCATTTTATATGAATAATTTGGTGAGTTCTAAAGAATGCAAGGACACATGTTGGTAAGGAAGAGAACGCGTTTGAAGAACTAGTGGGATGCCATTTTCTGTGTGTACGTATAGTATGGTTCATAATGTCCATGACTCGAGAGAGAAAATATCATAGGAAGCCATTCTTATTTCCATTATGTTCTTTCATAATTTCAATAATGAAAATTTCCATGTACCCCAACAGCCATAAATAGCGTTTCAAAACCTAGATTGTTCGCGCATAGATTAGCGTCAGATCATTGGATCGACAATCCAAATCGGATCTGGATATACCGCCTAAGTTAGTTAACTAAAAATATTAACAATAAATAAAGTAAAATAAAAATTAAATTTGCGCTACTGGGCTAGGAATTAGAGGGGACTTGAGAATATATTAGATAACCTAAAAATATAAAATATATATATTTGGGGGAGGGGTAGTTGGGGTTGGGGTTGGGGTTTTGGTTTTAAGGGAGAACCGGTCGGGACCCATATTATCCCATAATCAATTCAATCCTGATTGATTCCCATTTAGTTTGGAAATCACTAGGTTTCAAAACAATAATAATGTGAGTACATGTGAAGGAAAATTATTGTCTAAGACCATTTATTTTTGTTAAAAGAGGTCAAAATTACACTGGATGTGAAATTGAACAGTTGGGGATGTGTCATTGTTCATGTTCAAAGTCTAATATTTTTTTTTGAATTCCAATGCACTCAAGTTGTCAAATTTTAGATAAGCCGATATCATTTCCATTATCATATTCTTGAGAAATGATCCTATAGGACCCCCCTCCACCCATGTGTGTAGGACCCCAAAAGATCACCATTAAATTTGGCACGGATTTATAGATAATTTTTTTAAGATATCCATGCCAACTTTAAGGGTGATCTTTTAGGGTCTTACACACATGGATGGGGAGGGGTCATATAGGATCATTACTCCATATTCTTTCTTCTTTTTTTCTTGGGACAAAGCAATGGTGAAGGGATCCCTAACGTGTAGTAATAATGGAACCGAAGACGTCATGCTATGGCAACTATTACCCTAACCACCTCTGCCTTCAGTTCAATCCTAATGTTATTTTGTAACTACGGTATTTTATAATTACAATAATGAAGATCTCCACAAACCCCCCATCTATAATGTGAGCGCTCTGAAAGGAAAACTCTACTTATTTCTGGAATTTTTTAAAATTGTAATTAAAAGCTAAACAACAAGACCATATATTTTTTCTTGTCAAAAATAAAATAAAATAAGACCATATATTTTTGTTGAAAGATGTCACAATCATGTTGGATGTGAAATCGAGCACTTAGAGATATGTCATTGTTTGAGCTCAAAGTCAAATAAATTTTTTCGAATTTTAACACACTCATGCCATCAAATTTCAAGTAAAGCCGACCCATTTCCATTATCATATTATTTCTTCTTTTTTTTTCTTTTAATAAATCAGTGAGAAAAGAATCAACTCCCTATGATAGGAATGAAACTTAAGATGTCACATTGTGACGTTCACCACCCTGACCACTTATGCCTTGGGTCCATTCTTAATATTCTTTTATAATAACAATAATGAAGATCTCCACATACCTCAACAGTCTTAAATGGGAGCATTCAGTGAAATAAACTCTTCTTATTTCTAGATTTTTGTTTTAAATGAAAAACTATACAGCAAGATTTTTCTTTTTTTGTTGTTAAAGGAGGTAACAACCACACTGGGTCATTGCATGTGAACCCAGATACTTGGGAAACATATCATTGTCCGAGCTCAAAGTCAAATAAACTTTTTTGAATTGTAATGCACTCAAGGTGTCCTTTCGCAAATAAGCCGACCTCCTTTCTATTATCATATTCTTTTATAATTGTTTTGTCCTTCCTGGATAGATAAGTGGGGAAAATGTTCCATACTCATGGTAATAATAGAACTGAGGGCGTCAATGTTGTGGCACCCACCCTGACCGCCTATGTATTGAGTACATTCCTATGCTTTCATAATTACAGTGTTTTTTTGTTGACAATTTTAAGAGCTATTGTTAAATACCTAATTTACAAAGAGAGTATTAAAGCACTAGAAATGGGCAAGGAAAATAAAGAAACTTCATGATTTGCAAGACTATCAGCAACATCATGAACGGTCCAAACTGTTTGTTTTCTGAGCTTGCTAATGCAAAAAAAAAAAAAAGGCCCACGATAAGGAGGAAATAATGGTACTCTTTTCAGTGACACTACACACGATGCTCGTGTATCATATTTGCCCCATAAACTAACAGTTCAGATTTTCATTTCGGGATCATCATGGACTTCATGTAGTTTTGGAACTCTAAATCCAACTATTGTTGGTGGGATTCTGTTTGGGGTGAGAATGCCATTTTGAAAATATTTAAGCCACACAAGTAGGTTTTGAGTAAGGGCCGAGTCCGGGTATGGTCCAAAAATTGGAAACGATGGGTCGGGTCCGGATCCGGGTCCAAAACTTGGACCCGAACAGTATTTGGGTCCAGTTCCACACTATTTTCAGGTCGGGGACTGGTGAATTCAAGTCCGGGTCTCATATCATGTTTTTAGGTCTGCGTCCGGGTCTGGCTGGACTCAAACCCGACCCATTGCCACCCCTACTTTTGAGGTGGCATAGCACCAAATTTGGTGATCCAGGGAGCATGCTATCATTGGCATTCGGAGGAATGATTCGACTCCATTGTGTGTTTGCATAGGGACACTAGGCTATAATGTTCCCCCCTGGCAAAGAAACACTTTTGTGGGGTGAGATCCAAATAACATTATATCAATTTCTCTTCTAGATGATATTTAGTGTGTTTGTTTGGCGGAAATTTCCGTTTCGAAAGCCAACTTTTCGGATTTTCTGGCTCCATGGGGCGACTTCCATTTTTCCGCATTTTTTAAGATGGTGATCCCAAAACACGTGGGGAAAAATTAAAGCCACCCTTTCCATGCTCTCTCCACGAAGCCAAAAAGTTTGGAAGGTTCGACCTTCAAAGACAAAAATTCTACCAAACAAAAACACTATAAAAAAAAGTTTGGAACTTCATAAACCATACAAATCTATTTCCACTGCCTTATCAAAACTGGGCTATGATTTGAATGGGTAGCGTAGTGGTGAACCTTTTTGAACTCAAAATCAAATTTTATTTGGAGAACTCACTCTGAAAACAATTGGAGAAATAGGGTAGATGCCAGAAACTCCAAAGCCACCCCAAGTTCAAATTTGGGAAGTCCATTTTGAATGGACTGATAGATGTAAGGGAGGTTGGAGAACATCATAGTCGAGTGTTCCTAGGGACGAACAAAAAGTTTAGACTCGAGTTCTTGGCTCTAAACAAAGGTGAAAAAAAAAAAAACCAAGCAATAAAAAAAACACCCGAGCTAAAAATAAAATAACATAGATGTTCAATCTAAATGAGATATAACATGTTAACAACTAACATAACATTAAATTGCATATTCTTTGGTAAATGTAAGTACTAAATTTCAATGACATGGATGAAATTCAACAAATATGCGTACAAATCGAATCGCCAATACGAGCGAACCAGGTTTTGAGTCTCACACCCATATCAAAAGTGTGTTATCATAGCGTTGATAGATGGCTGAGATTCAATGAATACATAGCTCGGGAAAATATTGTTAGAGAATGTAAGGCAGCTACTCAACATTCTAAACAATTGCATTTTACCATTACCATGGTAATAGGCCCATGGCAGATTCTAGATATGGTCATGTCAAGCGTTTTTCTTCCTAATTTCATAGACTCCAGGATCCACAATTGGGCTAAACAATTAAAACGGGTTAATTCAGGCAGTTGATTTTTCCGCGTTGGTCCTAAATTATTATTTAGGATGTCACAGAATGTGGGAAATGGGGCATTATTGAGAGAGATCCCAAGGCCAATGTTACACTGCACCAACAACAATAAGACCGGTACCTTGGTGTGAGAAATTATATTTATGTATATTTGGGCCTTAAGTCCCATTGGAAGATGTATTTTAAAGCTTATTGAAGATGTGAACAAGAGCCTCAATACAAAGCTGAGTACTACTAAAAAAAATAACGTATGTAATGAACCACCTTCTTAATATGGGTATACATAAAAAGAAAGAAAATATTATACCAAAAAATAAATACAAGTTTCTATAGTTTCCACACTCCCCCTCAAACTCAAGATGCATCAGTCAAGAGAGAGCAAATTGATTTTGGACAATTAAAGGTAAGTCCTAAAAACAAAACATGAACAGAACAAAATTGAGCAGTTGTAAATTAGCGATCCTATGAAACAGGCACAGGAGAATAGAAGGATTTGTGCTACAAACAAAAATAGGAACCACAGGAGAACAGCAGCGACGAAAAAGAAACAGGAAGTGAGAGGTAGAGATATAGGCTGATGTTTTACATTTTCAACAATTGGAAGAAAACACAGAAGAAAGGAAACACACACAATATAGAAGTCGAAAAGAAAAGGAGCGAGATGTAGAGAGAGAGATTACTTGGTTTTGTTCAGATTGCCTAAAAGCTGGTGCAAGAGAGCTCTAAATGGGATTCTCCGACAGTTTTGGGATGACAGAGATTGTGGCTGGAATGGTTTTGAAAACATTGGAGGAAGCCTGGGGATTGGGTTTCAGGGCATGACATCAATGGGTTAAGACAAAACCATCACTTAAACCTCTGATTTTGCCAAGGTAAACAAGGTCACCGGAAAAATATATCGCTGAAAATTTGTTTGCAGCAGCCGACCAGATTCAGACAAGACAACCAGAAAACAAGCAACCCTAAATTAAAATACTCCAAAAAATGAACGTTGCTTTGTCTAACCAAGCAAGATCAAGATCAACCTGGCAGACCAAAACATGATACCATATGAGAAATTGTATTTCTGTATATTTGAACCTTAAACCCCCATAGAAGATGTATTTCAAATCTTATAAAAGATGTGAACAAGAGGCCCAATTTATAATGTTACAAAACGATGTACTACTGAAGAAACTAACACATGCAATGAACCACATTCTTAATATGGGTACACATAAAAAGAAAGAAAATATTGTACTAGATTTCTATAATTTCCACTTGGCTTGTCTAGACCAAAGCAAAAAAACAAGGTTAGATAAAAAAAAATGGTCAAATCTGATATTTAAGCAAATTTGGCTGCTATTTGAACAACTTTTATAGTAATATATTTCATATTTATGAGTTTTTATTTCTATATTTCCTATATTATTGTTCTTTTCTAAAATATGATTCAAATGATTCAACTAGTCGTCCAAACAATTTCAACTATAACAAAACCCCAGCATGTTTGGTGGCCAATCTGATTCTGATTCTGATAACATTCCCATGTACATTTGCTGCAAATCAAGCTAAAATAACGCATTTTCCACCAACAACCACGAAACAATAATTCCTGCAAGTAACCCTTCTACAAACCAAAAGTAAAAAGAAGTCCTGATATTTCCCCCATGAAAGATCCGAATAGTCGATTGGACCACAACATGAGTTTTATCCAAAGTTTTTAAAACATGAATCGGCCAGGTGAATTGCCCTCTTGACCGGTCCGGATCGACCAAATCCCCAGCCAAAAAAATTTAAAAAAAATGGAGAGAAAAAAAAAATATCAATCTCCACATCTATACTAAGTTTCTGTGATGATTTAAAACAAACACACAAACAAACATACAATATGGGGACCAATGCAAAATAGATAGAATAGGGTTGTTTCAATACAAAAATACAACACCAGCGCAATGTCACATCTAGATCAGCAATCCCTGCCCAAATCGGTGATTTTTTACACCTGGTTTTATCAAAAGATATAAAATGAAAGGGATTTTGCCTAATTGTGACAGCATCTCTAGGTGAAACTCAAGAAAAGAGTAATGTTTTGTAGGCAAGGATGCGAAGCATGTTCTCCATGAAACTAATGTTAAAAGTCAACCTCCCAAGAGAAGTGAAAGATACAATCATCTTAACAAGCATGAGTTGATACCCATGCATGGCAAAGGCAATCTGTAAGGTTTAAATGCTAAAACTAATGCTCAATGCACATCTATTTATATACGAATCCTGTTGCAAACTGCAGACATCAAAAAAGAAACTCCATAAACCCCATCACTGACGATTGTCGTGTAAAATAGTTTAATAGCTTACAAACCTCATATCATCCTCTCAAGTGATTACAAGCTTTAATTGTGAAAATCAAGTATACCTAATCATCGTCCTCAAGAACATTCCGACGCCTTTGAATCTGAAAGGGAAAAGAGGTGGGGGGGAGATAGTTTGAGAATATATAAAGTGCAATCTTCTTAGGACCCGGTTTCTATGCGGCCAAGCTCGCATATGTAGAAATGCAGGCCTCTTAATAAATCTATTTTTGAGATGGATTTTAAGACTTAATTTTTAAGGACATGTAATATCTAACATGGAGATCATAAATAAAAAATGAATAAATTTTAAAAACTAGAAATAATAATTCTAGTAAGAAAACATTTGGATCGTTAGTTTCCATTGATTTTAAATGGAACACCTACTTGCATCCATCTTTAAGATGGATGCTTTACACTTTTTGGATTGCATGTGTAGAAATGCGGTCCAGCCCGCATGAAACAATTTTCCATCTTCTTATTAGAGTGCTTTACATATGCAAAGGCAGTGTTTCATAGACACTCCATCTCCTCTCATGTCGTGTATCGATAAGCCTCGACCCATGTTCAACAGGCTAGCCGCACGCGTAAGGTGATGCTATAGAAACTTAGTACGTAACGACACTTACATATAAAGTGTAATCATTTTTCACAATTATAAACTCCTAGCCAACATGGTAGACCTTACCTTTTGCTCCGAGAAGACTATCCAATCCCGTCATATATACTTTTTGAAATTTGAAATGGGCATTCTTTTAAATTGCCTACTTTTGAATTTTCAACAGGGTGGGCTTGACTTCTTGAAATTAAAAATGGGCTTTCCAAATTTGCTATTGTAAAATGTAATCATGAGGAAGAACGGAATATGTGACCTTTGGTCTGGAAAATTAAGGCTACCGCCAGGCCAAACGAGCAGATGTGTACAAGGGTAGCGAATAAATAGTTTACATAATAGTTATTAATATGATGTTCTTTGACTGGAAAAAAACTGACAACATTTTCTTTTCTTTTCTGTGCAAGTCAGATTTTATATTAACATTATTTTAAACTTTTAAGATTTTTTGTATATTCTGAAATGTTAATCATACTTCAGTGTGAATTGAGCTCGGTTCATTCTATGAAGATATTAATAGTTCAACTAACACAATTATCAAAAATACTGACAACATAAAAAAAATATTATTAGTATTACCAACTTTTAAAAGAATCATTTTAAAAATAAAAAATTGAAACCAGTACGTCTTTTTATCTTTTTTTGCACAATTGTACGGACGTGTTAGGGTCGTACTGAGTTTTTTGGCTCAAGTATTAAACACTCAAGATACGTACTAGACATGACACCCATATCCGTGCCCAAAAGTGTGAGGAACAAAAGAAAGACAAGCTACCATGAGTTGTGAAACAGGAGCTGATGGTTAGTAAGACTTACAGTAACTTTTGTTTGCTTACTGGTTTGGTTGTTGATTTGTTCAAGCAATGTAATGAGCCTCTCCTCTGAAACCTGAAAATAAGGAGAACCAAGGCTTAAGCTATCATCTTAAATGCTCATAAAATACCAGAACTTGAATCTTTATGTCATAGCTCCATTGTAATTTAAAAATGATACTATCTTGTGTTTCACCTTCTCAGTTATCTGCCCCATTTGAGCAGCTCGGAGTATAACATCCTCCACACTTCTTGCTTTCTCAGGTTTCACTAAAGCAATTCGAGCAACTGCAGCATTCAAAATGGAAAACCCAAGTCAAATGCCAATGCAAAGCCAGACTGGACTGGCCAACAAGGCTAAAACCAGTTTAATTCAAAAAAGAAATGTGTTTCCTTATTAAAACTGATGGAACAGGTCATTTTGAGTGCCAAACCATTTGGTTCTGTGTTGTTTCACGATGAATAATTAAAAAAAAAAACAAAATGGAGAGGGGAACATAAAACATAAACACCAAGTTATAGGAGAAACATTGAGTTTTCCATAGTTGGGGTTTAAAGCGCTAGCACATTAACAATGTCAACTTTCACTGAAACTCAGGCCACATTAGCAATGGAAGGTCTTAGCAACAGACTTCATCACCAAATCCACTATCCTAGAAGCAAGCTACTCTTTAATTGACTCCTGACTTTTTTGCTTTTGTTTTTTTTTTCCAGACTTTTAACAAATTGACTCCCAGCATTTCTTAAGGTTCATTGAAGACTGTTCTTTAAAGAGATGGTGTCCTTCCAATCAGGAACAGGATAATATATTGGAGCCATTCCTTCATACTGCAGGAATAGGGCAGGAGTAGGGGCATGAACCATGATTATTCTCCAAGATGGTTACACATAGAAATTCATGTACTGCAGTAGCACTTATTGCGGAGGGCCGATGCACTGGATGAAAGTACATATCACAAATAGGACAATGGATCTTCCTATTCACAAAGAAGTTCCACTAGATATAAACAGAACCAAATGGATTTTAGTTTCAACAATGCTATGGCCACAAGAAAAGAACAAGAAAAAATTAAAACCCAAGAGACCCTTATATAACTAGTGTGGCCCCTACCAAAAGTTACTTCCAGGTCACTCTCTATCTAGTGAATATGGATATGTGCGTCCACACAAGACATGTGGAACATATTTGACAACACTAAAATCCATGTAATGGGTGTAAATCAATGAAGGGAATGGGAGAAGGCAATAAAAATGATGTTCAGCAGGAAGAAAGAGTTATGCACATTAAGAAAAATGCCTCTGAACCACTTGTAATATAAGTTTCTCATTCTCTTTGATTACTTAAGTTTCTATATAGGGAAATTTATCAAAACACATGTAATGTTTCAGTTATTAGACATTTTACCCTTTTTCTGCTACTACAACTACAAATCATGTGTATTTTGGTGGGCATTTTGAAATTAAATCAAAATAAATGAGTAAGACATTAAATAGTCAATATCTTAGGCGCATTTTGACAAATTTCCCATCTAAATACTATTGCCAATGGCACTACGTTGTTGGAGAAAGAGAACCTGCACAATAAAGAATTGTAATTTTTGGTTAAATTTTTTTCTTTTGGCTTAGTTTTTGGGTCAGAACTCCAAGTTCCAACATAAATTTTTCATTAAAAAAAAAACGTCAAAACAAGAAGTTGCACTCCGATCAAAAACTTCTTCTTTTTTTGTTTGAATGATTGGGTTTCCAACTATTTGGATCAGATCTTCAACCCAAATTTTAACACGAATTATTTTTTCAAAAGACTGGGCCAGAAAATAGAATTCCTATCTGGTCTTGAAAGCTTGTAATTTGCTGTTTTTGAATGACAGGATCGGATCTCCAACTTACAACCAGGTTTTCACCAAAAATAAAAAATAAAAATCGTTTCAGTACTTGGGAGTTCAGATCCAAAAACTTCGCCCCCAAAAAGAAATAACCCGGTTAGGAACTAGGAGGCAATCCAAGGGCATCATGGGAAAAAATTAAAAAAGAAACACAAAATAAGGGACACGGCCATAAAGTGTAAAATACACAAAAAAAGTATATTGCCAAAATTTTCTTGTATTTTTTATTTTTCTCTTTTTAATGTATGATAATATGTAGATGTCACTAATTCATCACGTACAAAAACAATAAAAAAGCCAGACCTACAAAGAAAACTCTATAATAATTAAGACATGATAATCAAATGTACACGTGATATTGAGGCCATTGAGAAATATTATAGAAAATGAAATATTGATTTTGAATTATTAATAATTTAAACAAGTAACTAATATCACTTCTAGAACAGCACATTTTCAGTTCATCTTGAAAGAATTTACTATTTTGTGCACATTCCCTGAATTACCTTTGGTACAAACCAATAACAAGAGTTATTGTTGACACTCGAACAGATAATTACAATGACGTTTTTTTAAATAAATGCTCAGAACATTAGAATGATTTGCACAAAAGCAACAAAAAAACAGTGGCGACCTAGGGCATCTATATTACTAAGGGAGAATGTGAATTTTGAATGCTCTCCATTAACTCTATTTTTCCTCCAAGTTTCCTAAAATCTCTCTATATAAGAATGAGCAAGTTAAGAATTCTTAGATTATCTTTCCAATCTCTATCTCTGAGAACATTCAAGAAGTCCATCTCTATCGCTAACTCCAACCAACTCCTAGATTTTTCTCTCAAATTCAGGGCAGATCTCATGTATTTCTTGGAATATCAAATCTTTAATGTTAAATTGGTATTAATTATTTTTACAACAAATAAAATGGTTACTTCGATTTTTTTTTTGAAATTGAAAAATAGTTACTTAGAATATTAACTTGTCAGCAAATAAATACAATAAATAGGAATTTTTTTGCAAGAACATCTAAAGAAATCCAATTGTTTTATCATGGCATGAATTAGCTAAAACAACATAAAAGGAAAAAACTAACATAAGAATTAATAGGATATATAGAAGGACTCCCATCTCATGCCTTTACTAAAATTTTTGGAAAATTGGAGGGAAAAAGCAATTATGGTAAGGAACTCAAAAATCACACTCCTACATATCTCCCACAGTAATATATAGATCGGCGTTAAATATTTTTAAAATAAAGAAAATTTTTTAAAATAAAGAATATTCAATATGCATTATTTTTAAATTTTGTCATATTAGATGCTATAAATTGTTCAGTTTCTAACAAAGTTGAAATATCCTTTCATATATATTTTGACACAAATTAATTAAAAAAATTTAGAACGCAATCTTTTCATAATTAGATACAAAAAAATATGATAAAATTCTTAAATTATAGCTTCATGCAACACGTGATATATTGGCTAATAGAAATTATGTCCAGCGACCTGCACTCACAAGCATAACAGCAGTGATGCCATAGGTGCTCTATAGTTTCATTCTCCTCATGGTAAACGGAGTGAGTATTTTTCAGCCATTACATTGTAGAAGATCTATGTTAAGCGAATGGAAGGCAGAGAATCTAGGAGCATCCATATAAATTTGGCAATTGGGGAGGCCCCATTTACTGAGACACACATCTATTATGTATGAGTTTAAATCTATACTTAATAATAAGGGATTGTATACTATGAAATCATTTATTTTTGATACAAGGAGGTCACAAACTCACAATCACTTTTAGCAATTGGATGTGAAATCTAACCGATGAAAGTGTTTCACAATCGAGAAATTTTATTTTAGACTTTGTGTTCAACAATGACACATCCTCTACATCCCGATTTCAAATCTAGTAGTTAATAATGATTGTGACCTCCTTGTATCAAAAGTAAATGGTCTCATTGTATAATTTCCTAATAATGAAGGGAATAGTGAGTCAACAAAATTAGCATTGTGACCTCGGGAGCCGTTGTACAACATCCACACTTTCCAAGCAGAGAAAACCCCTAAAAAATGGCCCTGGAATGATGTATCTGATTTCTTCAGTCGAAAGGATAGAAATCAAAAAAAGAAAAAACTCACGTCTTTCTCTAGCTTGGGAGGATAGGATTTGACTAAGCATCAACTGCCTCCGCTCATCAGCTTCCCTGCAATCATATAAAAACTTCAGGGAACTGGAGAACATTCCAAGGTGAAAGAAGAGCAGAGCTAAGATAAACATGTCGCCCGGCATAGCAAGTCTAGAGGTCATAAATTATAAAAGAGTATCAAATAGTTGGAACATGGCATACTGCAATTATCATTAAGAAGCAAACCTGTTTGCATCTTCCTGTGCTTTCTGCTGCTCTGTATTTTGCTGGTTCCCCTGATCCAGAAAATAGACTTTAATTGAAATGGAGAACTTTCAAAAAATGCTTTGGAATTATATGGATACAGTTTGATGAATTTATACCCAAATAAGAAATTACTCACAACTCCATGCTGTGCCATTAACTCCTGCATTCTCCTTTGCCTGATAGCAGCTAATTCAGGGTCCTAAATATCGAGATAAACAAATCTGAGGATTTATGTAAAGTTCTCTATGCTTATGAAAATGTAAAAGCAAGACCCCTGACAAAGAGCAAAGCATCATGCAAAGTTTACAATGGTTCAAACTCACAATTCACACATAACTTCAGCACATGCATTCCACGGTCTTTGCAATATAATTCACAAAACAAAACAAAACCAAAAAGCACTTTTTACAGGCAAAGAGCAGCATATGGAGTCGACGTAAACATCATACAAGCAGAGAAGGAAAACATCACATATGCAGGAAGAACTTGAGAACTGCATCACAGTTACTAGGAACATTCTAGGAGCCCAATTGTTTTTAAACTCTGCACAACATTCTAATGAATAGAAATTTAAATGGCTGGAACCTATGCCTAGTGCCCCAAGATAGTAGAAATGTAAAGGTCTTCACTAAACTATAAACTATCATAACAAACAATGATTATTTCTTATTTAGCCAAAATCAATTCAAGAACAAACATAATTCAACCGAGTAATCATGCACAAAGCAATAGGTGGTATACTGCCATTAATAACTCACTGAACTGAAAATAGATGTCCATTCATTAAACAGAAAGCAGCAACAAATGCATTAAAAGGAATATAGATGTGTACCAAAGTAAAAATTCTTTTGCTTTTTATAATCGAACTTTTCAAGATCAGATTCTATATAGGTTATAGTTTCACTATCAAAAACATAAAATCAGGTGTACAAATCTATAATCCAAAAGACAAAGTATATTATGATTCATACACCCTAGATATCTATGGTCATTAGTGGCATCACTACCAATCAATGGAAGATGGTGATGGGGGAGAGTGGGGCCTATTACTACGGAATGTCACATCCTAGTCTACGTCAGCATCCCTACATAGATTTGGACATCATGACAATTAAGACCATAATATCTATGCCCATATGGACATAATATACTTTCCTTTCAAGAAAAGTAAAAGGATGCATAATTACATTACCAACTTTTCCTATTAAAATTAAATTTTTATACCAGCGCTCTTCCACAAAAAATAAAATGCAGCCCTGATTGATCTAAATGACAACATAAGAATCTGTCTCATTAAATCACAATATCAGAACTCTCCTTAGAAGGAATATGAATTAGAAAGACCAAAGACTAAAGAAGATGTACTAAGTCATGTAAAAAAGAAAGGACTTGAAAATTTGAATTTCTACTCAAGAAATTCATGGCATTTCGAACTCTCCTTAGAAGGAATATGAATTACAAAGACCAAAGACCAAAGACCAAAGAAGATGTACTAAGTCATGTAAAAAAGAAAGGACTTGAAAATTTGAATTTCTACTCAAGAAATTCATTTTATTTTTCAAGAGCTCGCATAAGTCAACTCAAGCACTACATAACATGTGTGTCAGAGACACCTTTTGTTTCCCAACACCAACACATTTGTCTACAGAACAAGCACAAGACGCAACACTTATACTCCATTGAAGTGTCACGAGGTGCATGTTAAAGAGCAGCATGTTGGCCATCCACACGTGTCCAAATGCTTGAACATATATATCCAAATGTTAGACAAATGTCCATGAATTCGATATGCATGTCAAGAGATTTGGACACATTATAGTTTTGGCCCAGACACATCTAATTTTAAGTATAACGTGTTCTTGTTTAAATATTTTTTCAGTTGAGCTTGTTCATGTTTAGTTAATAAGGGCAAGAGCCCACATGTAGACATCTCGACAGCTGAGGACCATAAGAACACGCCGTGTTCCAACACGGTATCTTTTAAACTGTGCCACAAACAGCACATTGGAGTCCAAGTTACATAGAGTCATGGATGGGGTCAAATCACTGAGTTTCCAAGTCGAACAAATTCTTGAAAGTCCTTCCTGCTTTGGCTTGGTTTTCAACTTTCTACTACTGTGGACGAGTTTCATCCACGCCAACTCAGGAATCACAGTAGGTCAGAAACTGAGAATGAACCCAAGCTGCAATACTTTTAAACATTTCAAGTCTATGTAAATGTGATTTTCCCACAGGCACTATTTACTGCTTACGTGATTACTGAACAATTTACCCCCATCATCTATGAAAGCTATCATCATTTCCTCTTGACCATAGGTTACTAGCTAAAAGCAGAGACACAAATAAGAAATAGAGACAAATATGGGGAGCAAAGATATGATTAGGAGTTTACTGAAACCCACAACACAAATTTGGATATAAGTATCGTACTGAACTCAATTAAATGATGCATACATGCTGTGGCTAATATAGTGCATAAACAATGATATACCATAACATAACAGATAATTTATATGTCATATATACCACAGTTTTGTATTTATATTTTTAAGTTTACAAGTATCCTAAGAATATCCCGTATCAATATCAAATGCATATCGTGCCAACAGCAGTACAATACGCATCGATGCATCCAGGTTCATAGAATACTGAATTTACCCTACAATATCCATTAAATACCTTATGATTGGATCAAGTCCAATATATTTCTTTAAGGCCCTGAAGCAATGGGCCACCAGATCATTACAACAAGAAAGTTAATACAAGGAAGGTCACAATGGCAACCATTTAAGTACTGAAACTACCCATTATCACTTATCAGTTATAGCAAAGACATGAAAGTCAGGATCAAATCCAAACACCAGTACCTAGAAGCAAGAAAGGAAAGTGGCACCAATGGACGGTACAATTTCAGAGCTTATTGGATTAAAAAAAACTTTTTAACAGAAGTACGCCATACACCAACACTAGAGCATTGTATATGGTAAATGGGGCAACCACTGGCTTTTTGGGCAAAAAGGTACTATTACTCATCACCGTCCATCGTCAGAAACAGATGGTCGATGACCCGGATGTTGTACCATATACCATACATAAGTAGTATGATGTATAACTTCCCTTAAACCATTATGGCGCGATTGAATATTCTGTAAAATCTACATATTTTTTCATACAATAAACCCTAATTCGAGGCGGGAATCCTCAATTTTAGTATCCGAATTTCAGTTCAAGCCTAAGAAAAGAACTCAGTCAATCCCACAGACCAACTAAATCATAAAGATAAAAGATTGTGCAAATCTTAGCAAATTTCAAACACAAGAAACCCTAATTTAAGAGACATGATTTCGTTTCGAAAGTTTGATTTCCAGTTTAAGGTATCGAAAGGAAAAACAAATTTTACACTGCACACAACTAAAATCCTAAAAGTAAAGGATTCTGCAAATTCCACCAAGGATTTAACGAAGATAGGCTCAAATTGCCTGATATCTAGTTTAAATAACCAAAATAAAAAAACAAAAACAAAAAAAACCCTAAAATCAAGCTGCAGGCACGGAAAATAAAAAAAATTGTAAATTTGTAATCATAAAAATAAGGGAGTAAATCGAGAACATAGAATAAGAACTAACCATGTCTTATGCTAGGGTTTTGTTCAATCGATGAAGCGCTGTGGTTTATTGTTTGCAAGGAAAACGAGAAGAATTGGAAGGGACGAAAGGAGAGAGAAATTTTATCGACGGCAGACAAGCAGCTGAAAAGAGCAGCGAGATTCTATTCTTTGCGCACTCAACGAAATGGGTACACGGTTTCCATGAGTTCTCGGTACCATATGTAAATATGCGTCCCCCCTTCAAAATCCATTTTTAGGATGGATTTTGGACCTAATCTTCCAGTTATATTGGTTTAGAAAAGGTAATAGTAGATAACAAAAAAGAAAAAGTATATTACTCTTGATATCAAAGCGAAAAGGGAATGTTTAAATTATAAATACTGTAAAAACATTCAACAATAGCAATACACAATAATATCATATCATCATTATACTTCATACCAAACTATTTGGGATCGGTTATACAAATCTTGTTTGGTCACTTTACTCTATCGATGATCGTTCCCTCAGTAAGACCATAGATCACCATATCTCTTCTCATTACTTTCATCCATGTCCTTTTGGACTTTTTTCTTATCCTTTAAAAGTCATTCACTTGAACCAAATTACAACTCCTAACTAGTGTTGTATTAGGCTTATGCTGCACATATCCAGCCTATCGAAGTCTACTTTTTATCATATTATTGTCTATTGAAACTAAACCTAAGTTTCATTAAATGTAGCCATTTTGATTTGGGAAAAGTTTATATAAGGTTGCAACCTTAAAATGTAGAATTACATATGCATCTCAAAAATCCATCAAAAAAGGTTGTTTTAATATTGAAAGACCCTCTAATTGGTCATCTTAACATCGAGATATATTAATGTATAAAAAAAAGATTTTGAGTCTCAAAAATAATGCATCTTGCAACACATTATCTAGACTGTCCATTTTCAAGATTTTTACATATTTATAGATCTACATGACTTTAACCATTTTTTTAATTTAGAATTTTATAATTAGATATGAAAATACATTTTTAGATAATCCTAAGAAAGTTTTACAGCAAAATTACATGTTATAATAAAATTTGGAAGTGCACCTTAATTGGATTGTTTAAGGTTACAACCTTATAGAAACCGCACCCTTTTGATTTTTATCCTTTATTGTCTTGCCACTCTTCTATCTCAACATCCTCATCTCAACTACACTCATCTTATGGGTATTTTGTTTATTGACCGCCCAACATTTTGTGCCATAAAGTATAAAGCTGGTCTTAGAGTTGTCATATAGAACTTCCTCTTTGATTTCATTAGTATTTGGCGATTACATAAAATTTAAGATGTGCATCTCTACTTTGCCTACCCAGGTCTAATTATAAGCATGACATCATCCTCGAGCATTACACTTTCCTTAATTATCCACCCAAATATAAAAAATGATCTCTTTCAGGTATTTTTTGGTTGTCAATTTTAACTAGCATTATATAAAAAATAATTTTAAAAGAAGTAATAACATATCTCATAGTGTGCCCTCAATAATTAGATTGAAAAATCATAGGATTATGTGTGTTACTTGTACAAATAAAATAAGCAATCATGTAGATAATTGCTTAAATGCAATCAATAGTACATAGGTATGCAATATGCATTTGTGTAGATAATTTTGTAAATATCAATGGCTGCCTACCTAATGCAACCCACATCCTTTACTCGAGCTTGGGTC